TCTGGACAGCTCTCACTACTATGCAATGTTCCTTCCTGCTGGAAAGCAGTTGTGTTAGTGCAGCAAAGCTGGTCAAGACAACCAACCACCTGTAAATACAACCTACTGGTTGCCCTGAAACAATCTGTCACTTTCTACAGGACTTAGGGGAAACAACACCTAATAAACAACACCTAGTAAAGCAAAAGAACATATACTACAGTCAAAGGAAAATCTCATGTACAACTGTGGTAATGACAGTGCTTATAAAATTAGAAGCACTAATTTATTAGGGTACACAGAGCCCCAGATGATGGTGTGATTATATGTTTACTAAACTTTATCCGGAGGACTACTGCATAGAAGTCAATCTTCTTGCCTTTGAGCTCGTGGAAGATCCATCTGTTTCCACTCCTGCTCACTTCCCAGACACACCGCAACTGGGCACAAATCATGGAAACGAAATGTTTATCCAAGTGGAGCTGGAAAAGCCAGGACCCCAGGAGGGCCCTGGGGTGCAGGGAGGACCCCTTCTTTCACAGGTTTCTGCTGCATGGGCCTAGGGTAAGATGGAAAGGATCACAGAGTAGGGGATAGAAACAATTTTTTTTTAAAGAAAGAGAAGAAAATCTTCTGATTATCTGGACAGAACAAGAGAAAGGGGAGCTGCGGCAACAGGAAAATGAAAATAAGCAATAACAGGCCTTGTGACAGTTAACTGTAGGAATGTCCCTGCTGGCGGGTAACTTGTGTCCTGACAAGCTGGGAGAGCCTGAGGCAAAGGATCTGTGCTTTGCTCACTGGGACCTAGAGAGGACACAAACTCTTTCTGTTCCTAATAAAGAACAGGTTCAAGAGAGTGAGGGGAAACACACCGAGGCATGAAACTAACATCTGCACACAGTCAGCGGCACAGCAGTCACATTACTTGGATATCCAGGGCAGAATCAATCAAGTATGTGAGTTCCGACGTAGGCACTGTGGTGATTCCTGCGAAGGTTTTACATCTGCACACTTGGTTTGCAGAGTGCAGCTGGACTTCTGCTCTCATTCTTCCCCCAGGTGCCTTCGTGCAGCGCCAACTCTGTGAACCAAACACTGTGACCCCACCCACCCATCCCACCTCTCCCTACTCAGAGACGCTAGGTTTAGACAGCGAAAGCGTTCTTTGGTAAATGCATTCCACAGTTCTCCTCCAGTCTCAATCCTGCTCTCGAAACACAAAATAGGTAATAGATCAAAAAGACCAAACCAGATCCACTAATTTTTTATCGTACTATCTCATTTCTATTAAATCAAGCACCAGAGTCCTGAAGTCACTGAGCCAAAGCTGGGAGCAGCCAATCCAGATCTTTGAAGTTGGTGCAGAAGTAGGGGCAAAATAATTTCCCATATCATTTTGGAGGGTATAACTGAAAGAGTGTTTTTTGTTTGTTTGTTTGTTTGTTGAGACAGGGTCTTGCTCTCTCACTGAGGCTGGAGTGCAGAGGCGTGATCTTGGCTCACTGCAGCCTCAAACTCCTGGGCTCAAGCAATTCTCCCACATTAGCCTCCTCAGTAGCTGGGAGTACATGCATGTGCCACCACGCCCAGCTAATTTTGGTGTTTTTGTGTAGAAATGGGGTTTCACCATACTGCCCAGGTTGGTCTCAAACTCTTGAGCTCAAGCGACCCACCTGCCTCACCCTCCCAAAGTACTCAGACTACAACATGAGCCGCCACGCCCGGCCAAAAGAGTGTTGTTTACTGACACTGGATAATACGATTCACACAAAATAGAGCTTTAGTGATTCAAGGAGGTACCCAGAACATTCTGCCAAGGGGACATTTAACGCTGTGACACAGGAAGTGTCATGATGACTCAGGAAGAGGGGATCCACGTGTAGTTCCGTATTCCAGCAGAACAATGCTTCTGGCCAAATATGTTAAAGCTTCCTCCCATCTTCAAAGGAAACAGAGACTACAGCTCTGTGGCAAGAGACGATGAATCCCTCTGAGGGATGAGTGTATTCTAGTTAGACAGGAACACAGACTACAGCTGCATGTGACCAGGACGAAACTGTGATGGTGGCCGTGGTGAACTGGAACACACGCTCATCTGTGGTAAGAGTCTCTTAGTTTTCCTCTTATTCAATTTCTATCTTGATGAAAAACGGGAAATTTGTATGCAATTGATGAACAAATACACAGATTTCTGTGTCATAATCTTACTACTGATTTTATCTACTTATCCAATGTAAGCTCATCCTATTTGATCACGTCTCTGACAGTCATACGGTTATCCTTTTTTCCTCCACAGTGATCGCTGGAAAGGGAACACCTTGCAGCTTCTCCTACGAAGCTTTCCATCCTAATGTGAGGCGCACACCTCTCCCGTGAGACTACATAGTGGGGGAAAAGGGCCGTGTGGACACATGGAAACAGATTCGGGCAGGACCAGAACTATTTCCTTAGCCACACAGATGAAGGGTTTTTACTAGTTCCTTAGTGAAGAGGAACTGGAACCCGATATCAAAACCCACTGTATGTCCTTTATAGTTTATTGTATATAATTATGTACCATAAACTGTGCATGGCTTACATGCCAGGGCATGGGATCCGCCATTCCCAACAAATCTCGTTGTTGGTTTCTGTAAGTCTCAGCTAAGAATCCCCTTAAGGGCTTATCTGAACTGGGTAGAATCAAATACTGTGACAGAACCCAGGGCCTGGGGGAAGCAGCAGCCCCCACTTCTAGAATTCGGCCCGGTGTGCTTCGTGGTACATCTGCAGGTGAGCACCGACTCACAGGTATACTTGGGGCACACCCTGTGTCCAGTACCGAATGGTGCCAATATGAGCCAATGGGACTTGAGGAACATGTAATTCTGTTCACTGAACTGCTGTGAAGCTGCTACAGCGCCCTGCTAAGTCGTGCTCTTTGTTCATTTCCGAGCTTGGGCCTCCTCTTGCACGTAGGCCCTGTTCCACAAATGACTCCAGGGAATAAGGGGCTTCCAAACACCTAAGTCCTAGAGTGTTGTTTTAAGCCACTTGGCTCATGTGCATGTCTGTAAAGCATTGCTGGAATTGGAGGTGTTTCAAAGACAGCGAGGGGCATAGGAGAATAAATGATCTAATACAGAGAGTGAATTCCTGGTGATTTAAAGCCATTGAGAAAAGGGGCAAACAGAGCTTGGGAGACAGCACACCTTGATGTCTTCAAAAACACATCCCTTAATTTCTAAGAGACCATAATTTATCTTTCTATATTGCTAACACCATATTTGTCAAATACAGATATTATGGACTTTTAATATTAGGGAATTAAAAGAGCCTTTTAAACTCTGTTTTGAAATACATACATTTTTTCATGTTTGCACATACAGTAACACACCAGCATATCCAGTGTTGAAAGTATGACCTGAAATTGCAATCAAGCCATTCAAACCATTCAAAGAACCAGCCACATGGAAACTATGACCTCGCCCCTGAAAATCACCCACAGACATTTGTTTGGACATGATTTCAGGAGATCCATGGGCTCTAGAAACCACCTGTAGGCCTAAGGCTCGGAACTTGTGATACGTGGCCTCCCATAGGAAGTACAAGGATGTCCTAATTTTTCCCACCAGAATTTGTATAGACTAGCAAGTTTTTGGGCAGCTTGTTATACTGATAGGCTTCCTCGTCTCCACTGAGGGGGCAATTCTGCTTATAAACATTTCCCTCACCCTTCTTCCCCATTCATTCTTGTGGTTTCCCGGCCCAAGCAATACTTATCTGTGAGTCGCTGGCCCCAATAACTAACTCAACACAGCAACACGTTATGGATGGTGAGTTCAGACCGCAGATGTCTGTGTAGCCAGTTAAGTAGCATCGTCAAGACGATCCAGTGCGGAGCAGTGGCAAAGGACAGAACCACCCAAAAGAAGGGAGGAGGCTGGACGCAGATACATGGGAAGTTGGGGAAAGTTCATCTGTTGTTAAAATCAACAAGTACAATGTCGACAGTGGAGGCCCAGATGTCCCATTAAGAAATGTCCTACTTAGTCTGGAAAAGTTGGCAACTGTTCTCGTGGGAACCAGCAGCAGGAGCAGCCGCTGCAGTGCACGAATCAGAAGTGTCCTTCCTCACACCCAGCTCCATCTGGGTCATGTGCCTCCTCTACTCAAGCTCTTCTGGGAGCCTCTCCTCTCACTGAGAGAAAGAGCTGAGGTTCATGAGGCCCTAAGCTGTCTGCCTGCCAAAGCTGCCCACCTTGCTCATTCTACTCCAGCCATGCTGGCCTCCTCTCCAGGTCTCGAATACACCAGGCCTGCCACCACAAGGCCTTTGCATGGGCCGTTTCCTCTGCCTAGGACTCTCTCCTGTGGGTACCCTCATGGCTTTCTCCCTTTTTTAGGGTTTTTACTTAAACATCATCTTCTCAGAGAGGCCTTCCCTGACCATTCTTTTGAAAGATGCAATCCCCCTTCCCCTCGCCTCTACCTCCCTTTGTTTTATTTTATGTATTTATTTAGACATGGAGTCTCATTATGTTGCCCAGGCTGGAGTGCAGTGGCTATTCCTAGGTGCACTCATAGCTCACCACAGCCTCAAACTCCTGGGCTCAAGCGAGCCTCCCACCTCAGCCTCCTGAGTAGGTAGGCCTACAGGCACGCACGACCACACTTAGCTCTGTTTATTTTTTTTCACAGCACTTACCACCATTTAATTTACTTATCCATTTTACTTATCTTTTGGCCTTCCCAACAACAACGTGAGTTCCATGCAGGCAGAGATCTTTGTTGGTTGAACTGCCCATCGTCTTCCCAGAGGCTGGAAGATGGTTAGAACAGTATCTGCCTCACAAAGTTGTTGAAGAGATTAAATGAATTAACGCCTGTAAAACACCTGAACAGCACGGGGCCTATACTAAGAACCACAGCAATATATGTTATAATTTTGATTTTGTTTTAAATTTTGTGATGAAGGTAATTGGGTAGTTATTACCATATCCATCTTACAGATTCCAAGATGGAGGCTCAGAGTAATTTACCTGAAGTTCCACATTAGTGACTGGCAGAGCGAGGATTCAAACCCAGATCGACTCCATTCTGTGCACTAATCTCTCCTTGCTCTGCTTTGGAAGTCCTGGGACAGAAGAGAGGCAGAAATCCATTCTTTCTGGAACAAGCTCAAAACCTGAGAAGGCTGGTCCACCCCAGGGGGTGGGGAATAATGGCTCCAGAACCCAGGGACCGTTTCCTTTCAGACTTTACACTGCATGGACCTGACATGGCATGTGGCATTCTGTTTACTTCCTAACTTCACCAAAAAATCTAATAGAGTTTGCCAATTAAACAATGTTTTCATGACCCCAGAAAATCCGTGGATCGGAGACATTTACTTTAAACAGCCATTCCACCATAACAGGAAAAGAGGTAGAGCAGAGAAGTTTATTATAACAGCTGCTTTCATACCTCAAACAAGGTTTGGCTGTTTTTGGCAGGTTGCACTGTAGCAGAGCTGGCAAGAAGTGGACAGACTGCATGAGTTTCCTTTCAAAAGATCATTTTGCTTCCTTAAAAAACCCATGACTGGACTATCTAGTGTGAACTGCAGATGTTTGTTCTTCCTTTGCTTCTCTGTCCTTGGGGGGCTCCTACCCTGCTAAGGCCTAAATGGGGACACAAGTTTGTAGAGCAGAAAGAGCTTTGGAATGGCAAAGTCCTTGATGAGAATCCTACATTTCCTTTGTTAGCTGCTTAACTCTCCAAGACTCTTGTCTTTCTCTGCAGGATTATCCTAAGGATTAGAGTAAGGCAAATAGAGACCCTAGCACAGTGTCAGGCAGGTAACAGGCAGCTACGATTATCATGAAATTAGATGGTTAGAGGCTTGAGTCTATGAGTCCTCAGGGCTCTCCTGAGATACTGCATTTTACAAAATGCATGCAGCAGATAATGTCTAAAGTACGATCTCTTGCCTGAAGCGTTTTTTAAAACAGGACTTTTCTGCACCCCCTTCCCTTTCAACCTACAAAGTTGGTAAGAAATAGAAAAAGAATAGATGTCAGGGTTCCCCTGCATGTGCCACTGCTCTTAGGATCCAAAAGGGGAGGAAAGGGAAGAGGGGATGGGGGACCTGGTGGTGCCCTGGAGGGCAGAGCTTCAGTGGGTTTTAAACTGGAAATCCTACAGGAAGTGAAGGCTCTTGGCTCCTGGGACCTGGGCTGCCCTGGGCTGTGACTCCTGTAAAACCCAGTGCTCAGCAAGTGGCTGAAACCATTTCAACGCTAATGGCTTCCAGATGGCAGAAGAGCAACCAGCAGCATGATGCTCACGGCACGTGTGAGCCCGAGGGGTCTGATGCCCATTGGACAGGCTGCTGCCTGAAACTCATAAAGAACCCATATGAATCAGGACTGGAACCCCCAGCAAGCTTGCATTCCCTGGCTAGATCTAACAGTGTGCGCTGGGATATGCCTGTAACTGGCATATCCCCTGCAATCTGCGGTGTCTTGGGCAGCATAGAAGCCACTTTTCTTACCCCTTCTAGCAATGCTTATTCTTCAGCATCCAAGTCTGAGACCCACAGACAACACAGACCTTGTTGCTCCAAGGAAAGGGGCCTCCCAAAACATTTGGGAGAAATGCACTGGACTGGATTTTTGGACCCTGCTGTGGTGGAGGGAATCCTTGGCCTTTGCTGGCAGCTTTGAAGACCTATTTTTGATTTCCAAAGCTTTTAATCCTTTGTCTATTCAGAGCCTGAGCTTGGAGCATTTGCCATCCACAGAGACAAAACCTGGTAAGCAGCCCAAGAAAGACAGGGCCTGGATCAAAAGGACGCCACCAGCTGGGCACTTATAAGCACTCACTCCTGGGTTGGAGCCTGGTGAGGATGGGGCTGGGGGAAATAGGGTGGCGGGGCTGGGGGAAATAGGGCGGTGGGGCAGGCTGGGGCTTAAACTCCTTCCCCACTGAGAGCGCTGTGGTTTCATCTGGACGTTGAAACACCCCACATCCCAAATACCAACTCAACCAAAAAGAGAATATAGAATTGTGCACATCATCAGCCCTAACCCACTATCCACGGGTGATAATCCAAAAATTTAACAAACGCTCTGCCACTGATCAATGAGAAGGGATACCCGCTGCTGCTGCCCAGTTGAGTATCAGCCCTGCCTGTGCCCCAGCAGAGACATTTAAAAAACTACCACTGCAGTTACTTGTCGGTGGAATCTCTCGGGCAGCCAACACATTTTCCAGTGTTGGCAGAAGTTTTCAACTGCCTGGCACTCTTCCTGGAGGGCACCCTGCACAGCGCTGGCCAGGCTGCACAGAGCTGAGGGCACATCAGAAGAAGTTGTGAATTAAAAACAAAAACCATCATAAATAAAAGTAGATGGATGGCTATTTTAAGTTGCTCCACTGTTTAGGGAAAGTAGCTGCAAGGAACAGCAGCCAGGGCGTGGAGAATATTCTTCCATTCTTGTGTGTTTTGGTGAACTGAAACGTCCGATGAAATTGGCACTGGTTTTTCAGCCAACACAGAGGCCCGCAGGGTGTGCCCACTGAGGGAGAAAGAATGAAGCAAACAGCACCCAATTCTTGCCCTCCAGGACCTTATCAGGAGGTCTTTGCAATCCATTTCTTGGTGATTACTATTAAAAGTTGTAGGTGGATACCTAGCTCCTTACCCATAGCCTATTGTGCTCTCCATGAGGTCTCCATTAGTGTCAAAGGGTCTACTAGGAGAACCATGTTTTGTCTTGTCCTTTCAAGACCCTTCTTCTTGACATAGTGTACTCCTCCCCAATTTATTTCCCCTTTTCCTTTCTATTCCGAGATTGTTCTCCCCTCCATTCTTACATCTCCTTCCTTCTTTTCCCCAAGTATCTGCTTTCCTCTGCCATCCTCAGCAGTTTTTCTTCTTCCTAGTTCTTTCTTTCCACCAGTGCCCTCAGGAACTTCACACCCAAACTGCCAGCCATAACCTTGAATGGCCTTGGGTGAAGATTGAGCCATGCCAGTGGTTTCTGGCAACCATGCCCTCCCCAACGCAGGGTTCACTCTGGTCGACTAAGGCTGGAGGGATGGTGCCATCTTTTTATCTCCTTCTATTAGAAGAAGAAGGTTTTGTTTTTGCTTTTTTTCTTTGAGACAGGGTCTTGCTCTGTCACCTAGGTTGGAGTATGGAGGAGTCACCACAGCTCACTGAAGCCTTGACCTCCCAGGCTCAAGTGGTCCTCCCACCTCAGCCTCCCAAATAGCTGGGACCACAGGCACATGCCACCATACCCAGCTAATTTATTTTTTATTTTTTGTACAGATGGGGTCTCACTATATTACCCAGGCTGGTCTCAAACTCCTAGACTCAAGAGATCCTCCCATCTCGGTCTCCCAAAATGCCAGGATTACAAATGTGACCCACTGCATCTAGCCTGGAGAAAAAGTTTTAACAAGCAGAAAGGTCCGTTTACTCCAAAGCAGGTGTGTGCAACTAAAAGTTTTGGAAAAGTGAAGAAAATAAAGGAGGACAACAAAGGGAAAAAGGAAGAAATAAAAGGAACAAAGAGCAAAGAGAAAGACCTAACTTTAGCGTGATCACAGTTTATTCCAGTCAAAGCCCAAAATATTAAAACTGTTTCTAATGTTCCACTAAGTAGTGGCCTCTCGGTGCTTCTGACAAGTGATTTAGAGTAAAGTGGTCTGCTCCCAAAGGGGCTTGCAAATATTCATGCATAATGATTTGGTCAAGAAAGCCAGAGTTGCCCAGTCAGGAAGGTGGTGATGCAAAGGTCAGATGAATAAGGGAGGAGTTCATTCATCAACCCGACATGTGAGCATGGCTGGGACAGTGCGCAGAACGAGAGCCATCTGGTAGCTTTGCTTGCAAGACCAGATTAAGAAAGCACCACCACAAAAACCACAAAGGAGAAGATGAAGCTGTATTTCTGGAGGAAAGCAAAGAGTTCTACCCAAAGCTAAAGTAAGAGCTTTATTTTTTTTTTCCAATGATGAAGAAAGAATCCTACTTCCCTCTGATTTGCATTATTTTTAGCATATATGCCTCAGCATTGGTGCCCAACACGTCCGGCAGTGTCTTTTCGACAGCCTAAAAATTTTGAGTAGTTTCCCATTGCCTAGAGTGTAAAACAAAATTCATAGCATGGCATATGAGGCCTTCGTGATGGAATCCCTAGCTTACTCTTCACCATCATCTTTCTGCATTCCTCAGTGCAGCTTCAGAGTACTGGCCCCTTGCGGTGCACATTATGCTGGCTCTTCCCTCCCTTGTGTAATATGCTTTTCCCTCTGCCTGGTACACCTTCCCCTGCCTGGCTAAATTGTACTCTTCCTCTATAACCATCTCAAAACTCACACTCCTCTGTGAAGTGTGAGTTCTCAGGGGTTCCCTCTTCTAAACACCTACTGCACTTGAATGCCATCCCATCGTGCTAATCATCTGTCATTGTCATAGGGACAAGAATGTTATCTTTTCTTTTTATCAACAGTGCCTAACACAGGAAGTACCCCAAATTTGTGTCAATGATTAATGCAGCATTCATTTGAATTCCACATGGATGCACATTTAATTACACACACACACACACACTCACGCACGCACACTTGCAGTATGTCCTCTCCTGCATCTCTAGGGTTGTGGGTTCCAGGTGAGACCCTGCCATGAAGTTTCTGATCATGCCCCAGTGATATAATATGGATGTGATGGAAAGAAGTGAGCTGTGTATCAGAAATCAAGTTTGAAATTTGGGAATGTCTTTAAGTTCTTAGAGACCTCATCCACACAGTCCTCAGCTTTCAACTCAGGCAGAGTACGCATGTCTGCATGAGAACGTAGAGTAGATAAACGTGAGAGAGGGCAGAAAGAAGGAGGTACGGGGTCTTGTGTGGAGCCTCCCACATGGTTCCCTTCCAGTTCCCTAGGCAACCAGCCCCTGATGAGTAGTTCTATCTGGAGAGCCATATATTATTTCCATAGATGTTCATTCCATTTTTAATGAGCCCTGTCCCAAAGAGCCACCGAATGTCAAAAGTGCTGAAAGAAGTTGA